TCTGGTCTGTAATGGAGACTTGAATTTAACGCGCCATTTCAAACAAAGGTTTTGAATGCGCTTCCATTCTGGACTTTTCCAAATTGGGAGGGTCCGGGCCCCCTCAAACCCCTCGGGTTTTACGCCCATGCTTCTGTGTGCCATGAAGACCAAGGAAACAGCTGTTAGGTCAAGGAGAAAGTTGTGCATAATTTTAAAGCTGTGTTAAGGTATTAAATGTCTTTGAACATCTAGTAAAGTTATTCAGCACAGACATCAACAATCGCAAGATATTTTGCTTGTTTATATTTGCAAATGTAAATTTGTTTTGTTTTGCAGAGTGCCCTCCAGCGTACTGCCAGGGTCACGGTTCATGCTATCTTGAGGAAAACGGACCTCTGTGCTTGTAAGATGCAGGCTGATGCACAAAAACTTTTAAAAGTCTACAGATATGCATTGTTTTTGTTTGTTCCTTTGTCTCCACTACCCTTTATCTTTTTGTTTCAAAAATGAAAATCCTGTCAACCTTTACTTAAAAAAAAAAGACATGCTTCTGTGCTTATCCCTCTAGATTAAACATAGAGCTTCTGCATAAAGTTTCCTGGGAATCTCTTCCTCTAGTAATACAAACCTCAAAAAAAAAAAAAAGCTGTGCATTAGAATGATATCCTTCCATTTCAGCTTTTACCTTTCAAAAAGCACGTTTGCTTGAATGATGCGCCACTCTCTTTGTTGGAGTTTCCTTTTTTTCATTATAATTAAGCTCATGAATGGAGTTTCTCTGCATCAGCAGCTTGGAATGTCAGCGCTGAGCGATTTCACTATAAAGGTAGGAATGCTGTGATGGGACTTGCTGCCGAATCTGCTAACATCATTATGCATAAGTGAATTCTCTCTGAGATGTTCACGTTTCTCATTTTTTTAATGTCATCTCTGCTAAAACAAAAGATGAGTTCTGCAGCAGGTCCTAAGAAAAAGCACAGAAATGGACCTGAAGCAGAAAACTCGATGTTTCTTAAAGAATTATTTCTTGCTTTTACTTATAGAAATCAATGAACAAAATAAAAATAAAATTGTCAGAAGGTTCCTGCTTTTCTGTTTCACAGGAGAAATTTAGTTTGTATTTTCATCTTCGTTTTCTCACTGCATTGGACCCATGTTGGCACACTTATGGGTTCTCCTGGTAAAGACATGTAAAACGTATTACATTTTAGTATCATAATCAAACAGTGAGAAACTAGAATAACTTCTCTTTAATCTTGAGAACAGATTTATTTTGAGTCTGAACTATTTCTGTTTTGATCTGATTTGTTTTAGATCATTACCCTGAATCACCCAGCAACAACTCATTTTTGGCCAAATCGCAGGCTTACGAATTAATAATAAAATAAAATCCTTGTATGTACTACAAAAGATACGTTTTTTTTATATGAATTGCCAGAGTCGAGCTAACCCTGACAATTTCCACACATAATATTTCCTAATGTGGGGCCATTATTCCATACAGTCTTTTTTCTGCAGTTTTCAGTGTTAAATTAGTCTATGGCAATAAAAGAGGCCTTTACAATAAGGTGTTTTATACATCAACGATAGAGGAGTTTACATTTTAAACTGAATTAACTGTGGATTGTCTGGTTCAGACCACCCTGAATTTTGGTCTGCAGCCATTTTGCTTTCCAACCAACTCCCCACTCCGTGTTAAGAAAAAGAACTCAGAAAGTGTTGATCACCAAAGCTTCTTTCTTATTAAAGGTTTCTGTTTAATTTTTTTTTAGTTTTTTTGTTCCCGCCTTCCATCAATTTGTAAGAGGAAGTTACTGCCGTCATGCACTGCTCAGTGTGTTGTGGAGACCGTGAAGCTTTTCCAGCGTGCAAGACGGCAGTGCAGTAGATCCCAAGCCCAGCACTGGGAGGACACCTCAGGCTCACTGTTGGCATCAGGTTCCTCCCGGGGAACTTGGCCAGGAACAGCCCACTGTCACACAATCTGGATGCTGACTCCCTCTGAATGATAATGCCACTGTCTGTCTTCGCTGGAAGCTGTGTGTTTCCCATTACAGGAAAAATATCGAGATGATACTGAACAGATGCTGACATGGAGCCGAGTCTCTGTTCGGGAGAGGAAGAGCTCACTCGGTTTCCCAGACGTGCACATTGCCAGGCCGGCCAAACTATTTCCAGAGTTTCCGAGCTGGACGTCCAGCAGATATTTCTCACACCACTTTTAGAAAGGGAAATGGCTCGACAGACAATATGCAGTCAGATGCTTTGTGTACTGTACTGTATTAGAATATTACATAAACAAGCAATCCTGTTGCAATCCTTTCTGACCCTTAAAAATGAGATTTTTTTTTTAATACCTTGGTCTGGACCTTTTTTTTTTTTTTTTTTTTTGCATGCCAAAATAAAGCATGTGATTCCAGCATCCCTTTAAACACACGTGTGGTCACCTCGTTGTGTTTTTTTGACTGCAGGTGTGAGCCGGGATGGTCGGGCAATCGCTGCCATGTGAAGGAGAAACCGTCCCTCACCACCTCATCACCAACTGTCGAAGCCACGCAGCTTGGTAATAAAGACGCACGCCTCTCTAAACCTCCTGCATTAAACCGTCTCATCTGCATCTGCATCCTTGCAGTTTGTAACTCTGCAGTTAAATACAGGATCGAATTCGTCCCTCTTGTCTAGATACGGTTTACGCTGGCATCGGTATAGGCCTGGTGCTGCTCTTGGCTGGACTCGCCGTGTGCTTTCTTGCCCTGTGCAAGAAAAAATGTGGCTTTGTGTGAGTCCTGGTTTTTCTGTTTCTATATGTATATATGTAAGATCCCGGTTCTGTTAAATAAAGTCATGAGCATGTTTTACTGGATCCACAGAAAAGCTGACCCAATGAAATACGGCGTGATGGATAATCCGAGCTTTGACTGGAGAGCAGAGGTCAGTGCACAGAAATGTCCAATCAATCACCGGTGGAGTCATTTTGGGTTTCTTAGCTGCACAAAATTCATTTTTCCACCATTTGGTCCCACACTTATTCAATAAGTGGAGCCAACATGAGAGGAGGTCAGAAGGTGATCGCCAAGCCTTTTTGCCTGATTAGGTTTTTGATTTAGGATTATTGATTTAGCCTCTCATGAGTCCCTCTGCAGTGTTTAGGGGCTGCTCAGTACACACTCTGCGACACATGTAGGACCATAAACAACCAGCGTGATCAGCTGCCAAACCAAAAGATACAAAGCCTTTTGGGTAGCAGCGTTTGCTCGAACAAAAAAGGTTTAATTCTCACACAGATGTTGCTATTATTGTTCACCGACTGCACGCCTTGTTCCCTGCAGTTTTAATCTCAATAGTCATTCCTTGCCATCATGAGAAGCAACACACACACACACGCACACACACACACAGGAGACGATACGATCACAGCCGTTCCGTTGCTGTAATGGCTGATGTGTGACTTTGGGGGATTCATATGAGGGGATCAGGAGAAGAAAACGAGTGAATTATGTGTTCAGACACGTAGAAAGTCGTTTTTATCTGGTTACCAAGTCAAATAAGAACACTAGAAGGGATTTGGAGTGCCTCCACTATAATGAAATTTAATGTGGTTATTATGGAATAAACTGTGCTGTGTCTTTTTCCTGATGTGTCTCATAAAACCTTTTATGTAAAACAAACATCCATAAGAGAAGTAATAACTCTCCGGTGTGGAGAGGCCTGCTCTGTCTATCCAACCATCTTCCAGGTTTTTTTTTCGTAGCATTTTAAAATTAATTCAGAGAAATATAAATCAAAAACGCATATAAATATAAAAATGTGTTGCTTAATAACAAATGTACAGCTTGTTGTCCAGCAGTTTGATTCAGCACAGACACAAATACATTATAAAGCAGTTCTGCTTTGTGCATTAATACTGACATTGTCAGCGTCCCTCTGCTGCCATCCTACCACTGAGGATGCAGCTATTATTAGAGAGTGTGAGTCTCAACTCGTATCTCTGCCACTTCAGCACTTGTTTTGCAGAGCGCTGGAAGATAGTAGACGATGAAATGTTTTTATTGAGGTTAGGGATGTAATTATAAACGCCTGGCTGCATAACAGGTCAGTCCGGTCACTTCCCCTTGTCCAAGTGCTCTCGCACATCAGAGCTCATCTAATCTTTTTTTTTGTTGTTGTTGTTGTTCTCAGAATCCATCAGAGGACAAAAGTCCAGACAGCGGTCCACCCATTAACCCCAAAACGAGTGACGGTCTTGGGCTTCCTATCAGCGTCTACCCCTGGAGAAGAGAGGTGGAGGTGAGTTGTCTCCGCCTCGGCTTTTGACCTCCGACTGTGCGTATACGTGTCTGTAATGTGATCCTCGTCTCTTCTTTCTGCATTTATCTGCAGCAGGGTTCAAACTGGAAAGACGCCAAGCTATCCTTCTCCAACCCAATGTACAATTACCCCTGTGACACTAATGGCGCTGGCAAGAGAAGCTCAGAAGAATAAAATCGATAAAACTTGATGGATTGGTTTTTGGCATGTTTCCATGATGTTGAAACACATCGGTAATCTGAATAATAGCGAGAGAGAAAAAAAAAACAACTTATGCATATTGTATAGATATGAACGTTTGGGAAAATTGTGAAGAAAATCTTTGAAATGTTAGTTCTTTTTGTTGTTGTTGTAAATGTTTTTTTTTATTTTTTTTGATCAAGTATTACATAAAAACAACCCAAAAATAAGTCACCAGACTAAAGAAATGTTTTATGAAAATGTCTTTTGTTTCAACTACAGATGCAAGTCTTTTGATGTATGCTTTCACCATCTGTGCACGTCAAGAGACTAAAACTGTAACAACTAAAATACTTATAAAATGATATATCCCCCCACCCCCATCTACTTTTGCACTATTTTGTGTCAGTGGGTCACATGAAATCACCCCAAAATACTTTGTGGTGGATTTTATTGAATTTTCAGAGTCAGATTATACTTCAGCAATGAAGAATAGGTTTTATTTAAGGCTTTCTACACAAACGCATTTATGCCTATTTAAATGCATCAACTTATTTCTGCCTCAAGAAATAAGGAGATGCCGCCACCATAGATTTCAGGTTGTCTTTTAGTTCCACAATAAGCGAAGCTGATAGAATCAGTCATTTTTGTCAGATTCTCCATCACAGCAGAGTCTCCGTTGAGTGTGTAAGTGCAGTACATATTTGACGTCCACCGGTTTGATAAAAATGAACAACGTCAGGCCGCCGAAATGAAAAATACAATCCAGTGAAAGAAATTTGCTGCCAAGCTCAGCCACCGAAAAAGCAACAGCTCAGCCTTTTTGCAGTCTCTCCATCGGTTTTTTTCCCCCTTCCACCTCACAACAATCAAACATGCACACACAAACATTAGAGCCTTCCACTTGTCATGCACAGCAGCTGGCCGAAAACCTGCAGCAATCGGTGTGTCTGACCTGGGAAAACTCTCTCTGGTAGCTTCGTTATTCGTGCAGCTGAATGGCTCAGAGAGGAGCCACTGCGTGCCACGAGCTTTTGTTTCTGAAGCAACATCAGTCAGCTTTTTCCCCTTTGCAGCTATTGTGACAGTTGTGCTCACCACCAGGCTCAGTCCAGCCAAAAGGTCACCGTGTATTTTTTGCATACATCGCTGTTCAGAGACGTCTCTGTAATGAAAGTGCTCCTGTAAAGTTCATCTGCGAGAGCCTTCGGGGACTTTTATTTGAAAATAAGAGTTGACTTTTGTATTTGTTAACAAGCTTCCACTTAGTGCTGTCTTGGTTGAGTACAGTAAGGGTTCTCACTGGATAGAGGAGCAGCCCAGCATTTTATTTTTTATTTTTTTTTTATCTTTTTTAGTGTGAGTGCATGACAAAATGACTGTTTCACCTCTGTTTTCACTGAGCATGACACTCTTTGCTGACCGTCTACTAGAGTTTCCAGCTCATTGATTCGGCAAAAGACAGAAGAAGAAGACCAGTGAGCTGTTTCTGATTAAATGTGCAGTGATTCTGGAGGCTGCAAAAGGGTTCAAAAAGACTCAGTTTAGTTTGGTGCCTTTGTGCGGCTAAATATTTATTTTTTTTCCCGTTGGCTTGCAAATGTTGGCGTAGACTTTGAAAGATTCTCAAATTTTAACAATTTACGCTTCCTTTTCTGTTCAATAGATACATTGGCCATTATAACTGACTATTGTGACTGCTGAATGCTAATATTCCTATTTGATTAATAAAGGACTGCTTTTCAGAGGTGTTTTTTGTACTGGTGAATGACTCCGCTACAGATACACCACCTTCCCAAAGTATAGGGTCACCTCAGTGAACTCCAGCTGTGATAGGATGCCACCTGTGCAATGAGTCAGGTTGTAAACTCTCTTTCCCTCCTGCTTATTCCGCAGTCAGCTGTCAGAGGAAGGAATCTGGGAACATTTTATGCAGTGGGGTCACATAAAATCAGAGTGGGGTCAGAGGAAGCTGGGGGCCATCTTTCAGTGGAGTCAACAGCTGTAGACGTCCAGACTTCCTGTGGCTGTCAGGTTAGCTCAAGAACGGAGCAAAGACAGCTTTATGGATATCCAAGGTTGGGTGTGGCTCCTTAGTTCCAGTAAAAGAAAGTCATTTTGGACAATTTCATGCTTCCAATATTGAGGGAACGGTTTCTTGATGACCTGTTCCTGTCCCAACATGACTGCACACAGCAAGAATCCTTTCAGAGCCCCTGTTTGAGGAATGGGATGTGATTACAGCTCAATGTGTAAAGGCAAGTATCTCAATGACTTTGGCAAATATTGTGTTAAATATTATTTGCCTGCCTGGTTCAGGGATTTACAACCTGTATCTCTTTGGCTTGAGATGATAAACAGCCGAGGAGTGTTTTAATATGAAGGTAAAAAAAATAAATAAAAAAAAGTCTAGATTTGTTTTTCTGCATGGATTTCCCACAATAGAATTAAACTAGTGACTTGCTTAAAATTATTATTTTTTTATTCCCCAAATTCTTTTTCTACTAAGGTACAATGTATGTGACTTTTAAAGTTCGTTCTCCGTGAAAATAAAATACAAGGAAATACGTTTATTCTGTTCTTGTACAGTTAATTGTTTGTCTTTATTCTAAAACCTAAACATAGAAATAAAACCGTGGCTCTAGATGTGGGCTTTCTGAATGAGCCGTAAGAGTGAGATTCTTTAAAAAGAAAACATTTATCTGAGGGATAGAAAGCTTAGGGTTTATAAATGCAAAATAAAATCATTCTATTGATTTCTGATGGTATATTTCTTAAGGATCCAGTGATTTTATCTTCTGCTATGGTGTGACTCAGTAAACATCAGATCAAAAAATGAATTAGAGCTGATTTGACATCATCTTCAAGCAGCACATGTGGAACTTCCCATCTATCTGTAAATCTTTAGGTTTGGCAGAATATCTAATTGTCGTTGATACATGTTTGTCATGTGGAGTCCCTTCATACGCATTCAGTTGACTAATGAAACCAGCAACCCAGCAGCTGGTATTATATGACACAGGAAAAGCGCAAACGCCGCCATAAAGAGCTTGTTTATTAGCCTTCGTCCATGACTTTCTCTTACAGAGTCCAGTTCTACTAAGTGAACCTATGCAGCACAGTTTCCACTGAGGGAGAAACAAAATGTTTTCAGCTCCCGTTCATGTCACTTGAAGGGCAATAATGTGAAATGCGCAAATGGAAAGATGAAGACAGAGTGTAACTTGTTTCCCCTGAAGTTTTTCTTTTTGTTTTTTTTTTTCCTCTTTCTGTGGTTTCTGACTGCCACATGGCTTCTTTGTTCTCTGTTTATTAACTGGTCGATCGTTAAAAAAACACTTCGGTGACAAAACTAAGGCAGTTGGATTCGACTCAGTGGAAAGTGTTTCACCTGCCAGCGCCATCCGACCCAAAGAACCTGACTTTTCAGTAATGACGTCCTCCCCACCTCCAGTGAGACCAGAGTGCTGTTAGATCTGCAGCCAAGCTAAAGTTCACTCTATCTGTGAGTGATTGTGGTTAATGCTGGAGCTGGAGGGGTGTAAGGACAACTTCCATCCAGAGATGCAGAATTCTTCATCACCCACAGCCTCAGCTCTTTCTATAAGAGCTCTGCAACAATTTCACAAAGAGCTTGAGCCTCTGGGGATCAAAAAAAAGTAAATGATACGTTCAGTTTTGGCCCTTTCTTTCACGCTTTCTGTGCACCCTGTCGGGATTTTTCTGTTTCCCATGTTTCCTGTCATGAGTCATGCTGCTCCTCTTGTCCCTGCTGATTAGCTCATTGCTCTCTCTCACCTGTGCTTCTGCTGCTCCTGCTGGCTGTTTATTGCTAATGGCTCTTACCTGTGCCGCAGTCTATGCAAAGTCCTGCTATGCAGACTTTGTCTTCCTCCTTGACGAAGACTTTGCATGATCCCTGTGTGAATTCCTGATGTGCACCTGGCCTGTTTTCTGTCTCCTGACTACTGCCAGTTCCCTAGCTGTTCTGTGAGTTTCTCTGCTTTTTTGCTGTGCACTTTGTGTCATGTACAAAGACGTTGATTACTGCCTTGCTCACTCTGGATCTCTTCTTCCTACCTGGACTGTTTACCCAACCTCTAACCCTACAGTATCTAATAAAAAGGTCATTATCTTTCCAATAATCAAACCAGATCAGAGAGGTGATCTGGAATTTCTGCTTTCCATAGTTGTTTTTTTTTTTTTTTCTCTCTTTTGGTTTCCATCCTGTAGAGTTCCTTTCTCTACAGGGAACTCCACAGGTTATCCCCTATGGTCCCGCAGATAAAACACATGTGGTAAATGGACACTTTGTTCTTTCTCACTATCCAAACCCAAAGGTTTCAAGCCTCTGCAGAGGAAATCCTTGGAAGCCACTTCTGCTGTGGAAACCTTTTCGCTCATTGGTCGCTCATCTTTCTGTCACTTCTGCAAGTCTGACGTGAAAGTCGTTCCCTAGAAGCACCCACGGTCCGTGTATTTTCAGGCAGTTTGTTTTTTCGTTTGAAATGAAAAATGAAAAAAATGAAAATGGACTCGTATTTTTCGTTTATTAAACCAAAATGGGAAATCGTATAACAGCTCGGCTCAGCTCGGACCGGCAAACGTCTGGTGGCTGTCTCCTCACTCTTCATCAGTCATATTTCTGTAGTTCATGACAAATAGTTATCCTCTCAACAGATGAACCTACCTGAGCGAAGGAATCTCTGTAGCTCCTCCATAGCTTTCCCCAATGCTGCCTGTCAGCTTAGTTGGATACCATCTCTTAGTTATTTACATTTTTCAGATTGACTGAGCAGAGTTCTTTGAGATGTTTAAAAAAAATGCATATTTTGACTGCTTTAAAATTCTCCATCTTTCTTCTTGACCCATCTGCTGTGTCGCTTCATGATGCTGTCCTCTGACGCCTTCACAGAACAGCTGGATATGTACTGAGATTAGACTACAGGTGAACTTTCACTGGCTAGATGGATACTGAAGTCAGTTTTTTTTAACTCTGAAAACCTTTCCTTTTTTAAGCTCTGTGGCTTTAAATACATTGCACAACATGTATTGCATAACATCTATCTTTCTGGAGGCTTACAGTATTGTGGTTTACATGCACTGCTTTGCTTTGCCTGCTAAAGAGACGTGTGAAGAATGGGTTGGATTTTGTGTGAAAAGGCTAATTTGACTGTGGACAGATGTCTCCATCATAAATGGTCATAATGTCTTTGAGTCACTGCAGTAAAGAAGCTGCAGTGATACATAAAAAACAACCAAATGCAGTATGAAATTTACTTCTGTTGTCTGATATGACATTTTCGGCTTAATTGTTTCCATTGTGGTGACGTTCCACAGTAGTGTCTTAATTGGGACACACATGTGGTCAAAGTTATTGTTCCTGTGCAGACTTCCTGGTAAGCAATGAAGAGGACTTGTGTTTCATCTCATGTGACAGGACAGCACCAAATGACCGTGAGAGGTTTTTAATGTCTGGCACTGCACAGTTTGTGATGACATTAACAACATTTTATGAGACCAAGTCATTTGACTTCATGAGGACCAACTTGCTTATGTACAAAGTTGTGGCAAAATTATGCACAGGCTTCTTCTCTTGCTTTATTGTCACACACTTAAATGATCCAGGACATCAAACTGATCAGCATGACATACAATTAACATGTGGAAATTGAAGAACATATGAGAAACAAAGTTATCTATATCTAGCAGCAAAAGATTATAAAATCTTTTACATTTTATATATATGTCGCCGTTTCCTCCAATTGTGTTCCAGCCAAGAAATAGACTTTTTAATGCAAAATCTTTTGCACCTGAAGAGGGCGCTCTAACTAACCTGTCACTGTGCAATAGGTGAAGGATGACAAGACCTTTCATTATAAAAACTAACACCAAAATTAGAACAAGAACCATGAAAAACATATGTTCCTTCTTTATTGGCTCCCATTCATATTAAAACTCTTTAAACAGGTGTAGCCCTGTTAAAGAAGAATCTGTCTCCAATAATTCTAAATCTGTTTGGGAAAATTAAACGTCCTGGGGGGGT